GCTGAACATCTGTTTCAAAACCGATAAAAAAACGAAAAACACTGTCTAATTTTGCCGGATTTCGGATAGGATGCATGAATAAAACCGGATATTTCATGATCATTTCTGCATATGATTACGGATAGCCGGATATTTGAAATGATAATAACAGGGTCGATGAAATATTCATTCCTCCTGCTGTAAAAATGAGACTTAAAACCTTTGTCTGCTTTGATTCCACATCAAAGAGCCATATATGATGGCATGCTTATCATAGGCGCACCATAAATGATAACACGCTAGTCGTAAAAGCACTATATAAGATCATTTGAAAATCAGCCATTTAAGAAGAACAGGTTCACTGAGTTCAACTGTTATATTTAACGATTTCTAAGCGAGCTGCCTTTAGCTGATTTTAATTTTCCAAATGAATTACATGTGTTGTTTATGTTCACCCTGAAACCAATGTCGGATCTTTTTAACTACCACTCCTTCTAAAAATAAATGTTTGGATCTTTTTAACAAGTGTTTCTTCCCCATCCCCGCGCTTATCAGAAGGGCAAGTTTTCCGTTACTAAGCTATTAATTGCTTGAGCTTAAACTGTTAAATTAGCTCTTCTAAGGGGTGCATTTTTTTACTGGTATTCATCTGGGGGAAACAGTTAAAGAGATCTTAGTTTATTCTAACAAAATGTTAATGTAAATTTATTATTGAAACTGTCATTTTTTAGGTAAAGACTCGGACGACTCTTCAGGTATTTTCATGCTTCGTGTGTTTGACTGTTTGTGTGTCAGTATGTTTAACTGTTTTGGTGTCTTGGCTATCTATGTTTTTTGTATTTGAAATTATGAAGACCAGTGGGTCTCATTTCCTCATTTTCTCATATATTCTTTAAATTTATTTCATCAATTAACTTTGCATGACAAAAAGCAAATCATCTCTAGAGGGGGTTTTGCATCTAGAGGGGGTTTTGCAAAAAAAAGTTTGCTCGATAATTATCTGCTGCATGAGAAGTCTACTCTAAACTATGCTTACGGATGACTCAATGGCTTCAATAGTTTTTAAAAACAGCGGAATGTTTCCATCTTCAATTTTGCGAAAACTATTAACATTAAATAGTGATTCCTTTGACGAATAATGAATACTGCTGTCATGGACAAACAATGGCCAAAAAGATATTGTTCCGACTTTCCATATAAGCTCTGCCTTATTATTCGGTTTGTTTTTGAACTTGACGTAGTTGTTAAGGAAAGATTGAAAAAAATGAAAAGGTTGAAAAATTTTTTTTATCGACATTACGAGGCCAAACTGTGCACTGGATAGGCGCACAATTTTGTGTCTGTATGTTCCTGGATTCCAGAGACAAATCTTTAAACATGTTAAAACTTTGTCAGAACGATCAAAGAAAATGAAAGATTAAAATAAGTACAAAGAGAGCGTCCTTGTTGCGGAATCCGCTCACAATTCACAAAATGCACATTTTGGCTTCATAATGGATTTTTTTTGAGTAATGGTGTAACATTTTTTGCCAAAAAGCGCATAACACTCATAAAAAGAGAGTACGAACAATCAATGCTCAATCCTGATATGAGCAGTCTCGATGCTGTTTATGAGCAATCTTTTTAGATTTAAACAAGAATAGCCGATTACTGTGCAATAATAGTCTTTCCGACCATAGTCTTTAGAAAACTACGGTTTAGAATTTTTTTTTTCATAATTAGTATAGTTTTTTCTGCTTGGTATGATAAAATGATCAGACGTAAAAACATAATGTAATCATATTAGACAGTCATAGTAATACAGGCAAATTGCACAAGAAGTTTTGTAAAAAAATGAAGAGAAAAACTAAAAAAACTTAAAATTTTTTTTTTTCGAAGTTTTGGCTTATCAAAATGAAACTAAAAAACCCCAAAAACTAGTTTTATCTTTTTAAAATTAACTTTTAGGTCTTAAATTGGGCATAACTATTGAAAATTGTCTAATGTGGATCAAATCACCATCGAAAGGACTTTAATATGATATATCACTCAACCCAGTCCGATCATTTCTTGTGGTACCTGATTTTCCGTGGAAAACAAAAAATAAAAAAAAACTAAAACACCCGATTACGAAATTCCTCCCCATTTTCACTGGTCGGAACAATTACCCTCTACCGCAGTAATAGGTAAGGCAGTTCAAATTGAAGATTTTTTCCAGATTTCGATTTAGGGCAGAGGCCGAGCGTCATTTGGTAGTTGGTTCAATTACCATAATTTTGTTTCCCCGTGAATATGGTCGGCCTACAAAAGATTGTATTTAAAACAAATTTGGGTGAAGGATCAACGTGTGGAAGAGTCAGTTTACCAGAAATGAAGGAAAGTTTATTTAATTGACATCTGAGAATAAGTATTTCATTCTAGATTAGTTAGAGATCAAGACTACTCGTATATCAGGTCAAAAGCCTGAAAATTTCGACTGCCCCTTAATCCATATCAAATAGTTTTTGGGAAAATAATGAAAAAATATAACTTTTGAACGATATCAAGGAAAAACATTTTTTTTTTAATTTGATTCCAAGGATTACAGAAAATTGACTGAATAAAAAAAATCACATCAAGCAAAAATATTCCGTTTTCTTCGAAAGTCGGAACAATATGCATCTCATTCTACGAGCTAATTTAGATTTTTTCTACTTCACGTGACAAAATTTTTGTCTAATGTATTTAAGCATTAAAGTAGCCATCGTTGAAAGACAATGAAACACGTTTCATAGGAACGGCATTGCCTCAAAGTTTGAAAGGATGCAGTCAATCAAGTCAAAAAAGGACCATTTTTCAGCAAAAAAAAACCTTTATACATTCAACAAACTGAGTTTTGACGATTTGACATGTCATATAATTTTGATATAGGTTTTCAATATATACAGGGGCGGATCTAGGATTTTCTCAAGGGGGGGATCGGATTTTCAAAACAAAAATCTAAAAATTTGTCGACCATTTTTTTAGTTCGACCAAATTGATTTTCTGAGCTCTCCCAAAGCACTAAAAAGACCCTGTTTTGGCTGAAATTTCTGCTCCGCAGACAAAAATTTGAAAAAAAAAACAGGCCAAAAAACTGTTTTACGTCGGTGAAATTTTCTTCGGTCGAACTCACTTGTAGTATATTTTTTGATCAGACATATCTATCTTAATCGTTTAAAATGTTTTCTCAGCTGAACTTGGTCGAAAATATCTTTCTCAGTCTTTTACTGTGGAAAAAGTACTACCCAATCGAAGACAAATAAAACATAGAGTAAATTAGTTGCAGCGATCGAAACAAGCTAAGTGTTGGTCCGGTTGAAAGACATTTTGCAGCCATCAGGGAGTGATTCTCTGGGAATTATTACTAAGTTCCTAAGTTAACTTTTTCTTAATATATTTTTTGAAGAGCTAAATGATCACGTTTTGTTCATTTTCAAGTTCATGGCAGAAAAAAAATTGTCTTCTTCTTATCTGTCTAGAAAATCTGGCTTTATTTTGAATTGTTTATGATGATGAAACCAAAACTCTGGATAGTTAGTCCAGCCACTGAGCTTTTGATTATTATTTATGATGTTAAGTTCAAGCGAACAGGTTAGAGCACTCATTCGTGTAACTTCAGCTTCCGTAACTTGGATTATTTTCCATAGGGACAAATTCCCCCTTTTCAAGATTGCTTTGATCCCCGCTTGTGATTTCATAGCAGTAACTGTTCCCATGTGTGAATAGCGGGCGTTTGACACTTGGCCAACTAAAACCCAAGTTGGCAAATGCAAACCCAATTAGACGTCCGGATCCAAACAAATTGTGATACGTAAACAAGAGCTTCCTGCATGTTGTTTCAAATACCGCTGATAATTATTTTGATCAAAAGTCCAACCAAGCGAAAAAAAAGATAGCATAAAAATGTGGGGAAATTTTGCCTTTCCTATTATTTATTGCACGTATGCACTAAATAAAATACGTAATTTATTCTGAAACTTCAATTTTTGCGGCCAAACCTTAACTTCATGTCAATTTAATTCGCATTTGAAGCCCTGAGATTAGTTTTCGGCTTATAGAGTCAACGGTGCTATGAGCAGGTACTCCTGAAATATTTACAACAAGCTTACTGTTTAGTGTCTAAAAATTGACACCGGTGTTTCTTCGGAAGATAAAGGATCCGATTTGAAAAACCAGGATCCTGGACTTCCTATAAGTACATGATAGCTGGTAATAGGTTCATGAATAGAGGTTTTTAAGAACTTCAAAATGCAATAGTTACAAAAAAATATTACTAGAATTAGTTTTATGCTCTGACGTGATGCTACTTTGCACGTGAAACGCTTCTAAATGGCAACTTCGAGTGAAAATTTGCAGCGAAAATAAAAACTTTTATGAGTGACATATGAAGTTCAAGTGATTTTCATATATAATAGCTGGCCACTTAGTCTTTTAAGTTTTTTCTAGAAAAAATATCGGAAATGATATAATGGTTTCATTTCTATTTCTTTTTTCAAATGCATGCATATATCAACACGAGTGAACTTTTCTTTGAAATTACCCTTTCGCTTCGAATATTCCGCGAGCTCGGAGATATATTTGAGATCCGCTTTTATAGAAGGGTTTATTGATCAACGCAGATCTATGACCATTGAAAACAAGAAATTGTTAACGTATAAAAAGACTGACTTGTTCTTTATTTTTCAAAATTCGATGTCGATTTTTGATTTCAAGTAAAACCTGAAAACTGAAAAAATATTCCGATAAATAAAATAATTTAATTTTACATCACATCCTATCAATTTATCATCAATCAATCAATCTGATGATAGATTGTCGGTTGTGTAAATAGTTGATTTTGATATCTGGCTTGCTTTCTTTTGGGCTAATGAAATATAATTTCGTTTAGTTCAATGCTGATTCCTTTGTGGTGTTCTCCCAAGACGAACTAAATAGTAAACGTGCAATTTAATACATTGTTTGGTGGTATAAATTTCTGGTTTGAAATTAAAATTATTATTGATATATGTACGTTTCTCTAGGCACGAACTCGCAGCAGATCTCGCCCTCGAAGGACAAGACAGCGGAACTGCAGGACGTGCTGGTGGCAGTGGGGGAGAAGTTGAACCTGACCTGCAGATACAGTGGGTTCCAGAGGAGCAGTGTGATGGAGATCCAGTGGCAGAAGGACTCCTTCCCCCTCATCTCCGCCTCGCCAGGCATGAACAACAGTGAGTATAGCATCTGCATCCTCCAATCAAATTAGAAAATAGATTTGAGCTGCATGGTAAATACTTCTAATTACCTCGTAGCTCTTTACCAGAACAATCTTAACATTCTGCCTCCGAAAGCTTGTGTTCGAGACCAGAGGAGAAAACTGCCTTGATCCGCATTCACTTTTTAGGAAGATTGCCTATTTCTGAAAAAAAAGAGATTTTATAATAACAATAATCATAATAATAATAGAAATAATCATCATAATAATAATAATCATAATAATAATAATAATAATAATCATAATAATCATAATAATAATAATAATAATAATAATAATCATAATAATCATAATATATTATTTCCAGCATAAGTTCACATTGATCAATATAAATTATATAAATGACCACTTGAAAGAACCCAGTCTGGGCTATCGTCATTAGACAAATTCTGCCTTTTTCAGACGTCTCTGAGCGCAAAAAAAGAACAGGTTTTAATTGGGATGGTGGTGTAATACCACTGTTATTTTTTTTACAATACTATAGAATGAAATTTTTTTACAGACGTTCAATGCCGTAACTGGTCAAACGAAAAGTCTATTAAATTAAATAGTTTTTTAAGTCCTAAATTTAAAATAAATTGGTAAACTAAATTAATGAAACCGCACTGTCCTAAAACATGAAAATATTGCCATGTCGCGTTCTTAGCTAACGAATGTTTGATAATATAAAAAAGCACTGAGTTCTACGCTAATCTCATGCTGGCTGAAGAAGTAGGTCTCTCGTTTAGCACGCGGAACACAAGGCTCCCTAAACCTGACCAAGAGCTTAAGGCCTGTTGATTTTGTTTGGGTAGCTGAAGCGAACAACCCAAAAGGCTACAACTCACTCGCAGCGTACTCTTTAAATGCAAGAATCTTTTTGCCCGTTGCGCTGATTTGTACACAACGTCCTGCAAAAAAAAAGCATCGAGCAATTTGGGTGAACTTATTTTGTATTAATATTGTCCTACCAAAGTTTTGATGACTGCCGGTCATCTAATCAGTTCTACAAAACAAAACGCTGAGTCTCAAAATATGAAAAACTCGGCAATAAAAGGAAACTTGAAAAATTTAACTGAAAAAATTGTTCTTGACCTAAGAGATTTTAATTACACAAAATTCAAGTAGGCGTAGATGACATATTTATATTGTAATCTATTGAATCTATTTTTTTTACATTTGCCTTTTTTTTAGTTTGAATGATGATTGTAGCAAAGCAGAAACTTGATACTTTTGGCAGCATTTCGATATCTATCATGTCAAATACTGATTAAGAAAAAATAAACTAAGAGATTTGATAAAAATTTGAAAGAAGGTAAATGTTAATATTCTTTCCGATTTATTCATATTTGATTAAGTAAGATTGACTCTCCTCGCACATACTACTTCAAGGACAAAATTTATCCTCTCACTCATTAATAAAATCAAACAGCATGCCTCGATTCAGTTAGAATCAACCTCTGAGCCGGATTTATTTGCGGTTTACGCGATGTTAGAACAAAAATCTCACTTTAAAAGAACAAAAAATTGCTTTTACTTGCCATTTGGCAATTTCGAAACCACGTTTTTGAAAAAAGATTGAACAAAATTTTTAGTTTTGAGCTTAACGCGTAGATATTTTTCAGATTAAAAAATGACTTAATCACAATTGCTAATTAAGAAGTCGAAACATGCTTGGTGAAAAAACCCTAGCACAAACATACCGTCAATTTTTTTTTGAAAAATCTGAAGAATAAGTGCCGTAAAGTGGTCAATTAAAGTCATAAAAAACCATTTTTTTCGATGTCTTACAATTCATATGTGCAACTATTCACGCAAACGTGGTGTGAACTAAAGTATTAAAAACATTCGTAAAAAAACTAGAGTTTTACGGGCAAAAAACTAAAACAAGCGCAATTTTAAAAGTAGCTGTTATGTGAATAACTTTTTCCAGGAAAATTTGCTGTATCTCAATATAATTCGTACAATTACAAAGAATGGAAGAAAAAAAATGCATCGATATTAAGCAATTTCAAAAAGCGCAAATAAAGGGTTTCGAAAAGAAAAGTTAAACGATATGATTATTAATCCGACTTTCAATAAAAACGCAATATTTATGTCCGGTGTGGTCTTTTTTATTCAGTCAAATTTCGAAAATCGAAATAATAGTTTTTAACAAAAAAGTATTAAACCCTATTGAAGATATCGAATCTCGGGAATCAAATTTAAAAAGATATTTTACCTCCAATCATTTTTTACAAAGTTATGAGAGTTTGAAAATTGCTAATTTGACCATTCTTTGGACTAATTTATCTGCACTTATCAATGTAAGATTTTATCAAAAACCCTGAAATCCTTTTGCTAATTATTTATGCGTGGCGACTGATCCAGCATAACAAACTCCTTTCAAATTGAATTGAGGCTAGCTAATCGGTCATATTAGTTTCGTATGAATCGAAATTTCTCACTTGATCTTTGATACTGTCCAAAATTTATAGTTTTTTAGCATTTTCTGTTCCCAAAAATCTGTTCGATATCGATTAAGGGGTAGTGGGGGAACAAACAAGGCTTCGCCTTGATATACGAGCAGCCTTGTATAGCGGAAACACTTTATAGTTCTCACATGCAACTCTCTCACTAAATGGGAGCTCAGTGGAGTAAACATTCGTTAATTGTTATGAAAAATCGTTTGTCTTATTTGGGTTATGTTCATTCTTGCTCCCGTTTTCCCGTTTAAAAAAATTGTTGAAATCATCTAGAACCTTTTTTTTCTGCTCGGCAATTAGGTCTGCGCGTAATTTTTTTAACAAGTATTTAATCCGTTGTTTATTTCGAGTTTTTTTCTGTTTTTTTTTCACCACGGAGTATATCAATTTTCAAGTGACAGTTTTCATTAGTTGGCCTTGAAGGAAAAATGGGTGCTGCATTCTTACTAGTTTGTTATGCTAATATTTATTAAACTTATGCGATGAGCAGTACACATAAACCGATAGAATTAGATTTTGAGAATTCTCGAAAAATTCAATCCAAAAGTGTGCCAATTTATGTTTCGAAAATCTTAGTTATCTTAATTATTTCGTATCCTCTGTCTTTTTTCTAATTTGAGCTCCATATTCAATCTTTTCTACATGCACTAAAAATTTTGGTGTAATTTTTTTTATTGAAAGTAGCTTAAACCAAAGATCACCCTCTGCAAAAAAATTGCATAGATAAAAAATGATTGAAAGTAAGTTTTATATGAAGAATTCAAATAAAAAAAAAGTGAAAAACATTTATTTGAAAATCATAGATGCTACCAAGAAAAAATTAAACGGCTAATTGACCCATTAAATGCTTAGCAGAAATGTCAAAAGACTTTTACAGCTTTGCAAGTTCGAAACAAATAGCGACAAAAGAGTATGATAACCTATAAAAGAGCAAAAGGGTCAAATTGCGGCAAAAGAATATAAGAAATTATAGACGTAGCTTAGTCAATCATCGGTTTGGTGTTTAATTAAATGATGATCAATTACCATCTTTGAGATATATTCATCAGCACTAACTCGAGAAAGACCTATACTGACTGGTTCGATTAGATAAGGTTGATGGTTACTTACTATAGATGAGCTGCTATTTTTTATGCTAAATATTAACACCCTATTGCAGAAGTCATTCTCAATAGTCTCTGGAATAATGATTAGATCAGGAGTTTAAAATTAGAAAGGTGTCAATTTTTTGGAGCGATGGTTTAGGAATAAAGGACGGCTCAAACCCTTCCCGCTATTAACTCCCTATCGGAATCATTTGTATATTCTCTTTTCCCAGATGATTTGGATTGACAACTTTCGATGACATTAGATTGCTGGGTAAATTAACCGACAGCATATGTTTCATAAGATTTAAAAAGTAAGCAAACAATCCCTCACAGTTATATGTGCTGACCCAGACCGGAAAATTTTTAACCCAATTCGATTCTGCAGACCAATTAAATCGGAAGCTTTTATGAATGTGTTGACGAAAGAGCGAAGAAAAGACTAACAAAAGACTCGCGAAAGACTATTTTAAAGTAACCAAACTTCAATGAAGTTAGAAATGAAAATTCGTTGAATTGGCATGTTCAGTTGAACTTATGGAAGTTTTTTCAGCTCTGGTTTTCATCGTATTAACGCGTATGGTTCCAATTTTCAAAGGAAGTGACGGAATACGTATGACCGATTTTTTTGTCTCCGGACAAAAGTTACTCTAGTGATAATTTTTTCTAACAAAATTACCTAAAATTGGACCTTTAGGTTAAATGGCGGTTTTTCAGGCAGTATATTTAACAGTGCAGTCTTGCGATTTTAGTAATTACCCTGAATAAAACTATCGCTTATGCAAAATAATACGGCTATTACTCCGAGTTTTTAACTAACAATGTTCGACGGCAATTTACTGTTCAGTCTAAAATATATTGCTGCACTTCGCTCAGCTTTGACCTGCGACGTTTTAACAAAAATTACCGATTGTTTGAAAATAGCCAAATTGGGACCACTTATTTGCGCAAATCTCCAATCTCCTATTAACGCGCAGTGTCGGCGGAAATTTCCCCGGCTCAGAAATTAATACAAATTGATTTGACGCTATTCGTTTATCAACAAATGGGTTTAATACATGCAAAATCAATCACTTTCTACTTGATATTCAGTGTGCTGGAAATTTTCATTATAAAATGGTAACAATTGCTTTTTGTTCCGGCTTTCGTAACGAAAAAAAACGGAATATTTGTGCTAGGGGTGGGTTTTTCTTCAGACAAGTTTCAATTTTTAACTAGCCATTTTTGACGGGATTTTTTTATACCATTCGAAAGGTTTTGTTGTCCTGAGAAATTGCTCAACTTTGATTGAGGTATGCTATTTAGACTATTAAAAACTTCAGTATAGGCAAGTACACTTTTTGCTTTCAACATAGCGCGTGGGGGATTGATTTTTAAAATATCACTGGGAAAGTATCTCATTTTAATTTTTTTTTGAAAATTAATAATTTTTTTTAATGAACGCCTCTTCATAGAACTTAAATGGCAGAAGGAACATTTAAGGCTTCGCTCTGATACGAGCAGTCTTGTTTCTTTTTCGTTTTGTTTTCCACGCATTATCAGGTACCACAAATGGGTCGAGTGATATATCATACTAAAGCTCTTTCATATTCGAACGAGGTTAAAAATTTTCGAAAAAATTGTCCCAGTATTGAAAAAAAAACAGGTTTGAAACATTGGATTTTTAGTCTAAATTGGAGCGAGAAGGCTTACAATAGCTTATTTTTGTTTAATTTAGGCCATGACAACTTAGTTTTCTCCAAGTAATGTTGTTTTTGGGGTTTTGCGTACCGCTATAATGAAATTAAAAATTTCAAAATTTCAGAAATGTCAGCAAAAAAAGTTGACAATTTTTTTTTTACTTTTTTTGTTTTTTTTTGTTTGTTTTCTTAGTAAATTTATTACAATTTTTCCTTATTTTATTATGACTGTCGATAGTTACCCTTGTTAGAGTTTTTCGGTCAGATCCTTTTATCACATCACGCAGAAAATAACGACACTAATTTGAACAGAAAACCTTTTTTGTTTCTTTTTAGACTAAGGTCGGAAACTTTTGTGCTACTTGCACAGTAACCGGCTATTCTTGTTTTCGTTTGTTTTTGCCAATTTGATCTTTTATCAAAAGAGAGCCAATTTGACTGACTTTTGAACTACTTTTATACCATCAACAACTGAGACAAGATATAAAAAAGTATTTGCTTTTTAATTACTCTTGGTATTATCTGAAGTTGTAGTCTAAAAACAGATATTTTAAGAAAGTCTTGACATTGCTGTTTTTTTTACTTATCTTTATTATTGTCTTGGCATTGTTAATTTTTACAGTGTTAAACAAATTTTTTTAATGAGATCAGCTATTGGGAACTAGGCGAAGATTTAGTTTTCTAAACTCAATTTAATGATTTTGAATTGGTTTTGCATAGTTAGTATAGGTTCGAAAAAAAATGAATGATCTAAATTTCTTTTTCTACCCGCCCGCATTGTAAAATTCCAAATGATTATTTTTTTAGCATCAAATTATTAGACACGTTTCAGTTTTGATTTGTGAGCTGGATAGGTTGCGCCCCCTGCACCCCTTAAATGCAAAATTGCGCGCATTTATCTGCGCGCACCAATTAGTTCAAATATGCGAGTTTTTGACTTCCCATTAATGCACAAAAAATGGAAGCGAAATTTTCTTTAAAGTTCAAGCTCAGAGCGTTTATTGGTTTCAATTTAATGTCTAGATAACTCTGTCAAAAGCGTTTGATTGAAGCCTTAATGTTGTTTGAAAAAAAAACTCGAGCATCGCTAGATTTTTGTTGCTTTCCGCTTTCAAAATGGGAACATTGATCAAAATTCATTGTTTTAAAGTTCTTCAAAAGTCTTTTTTTTTTCAATTTTAGTTGATATTGTTTCCCCAACAACTATCGAAGAAAAAAAATCGAGTGCTCAGTTCTATTTTTGTTTACGTTATAAATTGGTATAATAAAGTGTTGAATTTGAAGTTCATTCTGTTTTGTATAACCAGAAATTGGAAAAAAAAATTGATAAACTTTGATTATTTCAGCGCCAGACATCATAAACAAACACCGTTAGTATACACCTTTTCTACATCCGTTGTTGTTTTCTTCCCCAACACGTTTTATACCTGATACAGGTGCTGGTGGTGAAATAAGACGACGGCAAATTTAGTCGAGGGACGAGTTTCAGTTCAAAAAATATAGAATGCAAGGTCGACAATAGGCCGTCTACCACTATTATTTTTTAAGATGAATACACAAAAAGTTTCGAAATGTTTTATTGTGAATTAAATGCCTTTTATTGAATATCACTAATAAATAATTCGTAATTCTGAATGATGTCTTCTTTGTGACTGTCGTCTTATTTGCCCACTATTTTTTGGAAATATTTCCAATAAATGAGCCTCTGGAGTGTTTGTCTGCAATTATACCAGTTTGAGTGTCATTTTATTTCATGATGATTTTCATGCGAAACTGTTTGATCAAAGTTCCAAGGATCTGAAATAGTGCGAACCAGTGCAATCAATAGAAAGGTATTAGATCATAACTATGAGCTACCTTTTTTAAAGCTGCATTAACTTTCATGAAAAAAATACAAACATTTCACGAGCAATAATTTTTCTATTTTCAAAAATTATTTCCATTTGGCTTAAAATATAGTATAATTACTTTTTGTGGGATTTAAAAAAACCATTCTGTCTTTTGCACTGTTTCGGACCAATTTCATCATCCTTCGATTGTTTTCCTCCTCTCGATCTAATAACTTCAATGTCGTCCTGTCTCCTAAACTCACAAGTTATGGTGACATGTTTAATTGCACTCTTTGACCCAATACCCAAATGTGACTCAATTTAGATAAATAGTCAATGCGTACTCATTTAACCTGCTGGAAAAAAAAACTGTTTTACTTTATTGCCTGTTTTACTTATAATTGATGATCATCCATAGTTCAGAACCTAAGACTCAAAGACTCACGACAAATTTTCTCGAGGGTGGGGGGCAGATTTTCAAATTATTTTCTAAAGTTTTGTAAATTAATTTTTCGAGCTTACATAGAACTCTATAAAGACCCTATTTTGGCTAAAAATTTTCCGCCGCAGGCCAATTATGCGCCACAGGAAAAAATTGTGTTTTCTCGGCGCGCGCTCCCCTTCAAAATAAGTATATATAAGCACCCAAGGCGCCTTAGACAAATTTTAGGGTTAGTTGGTCGCCTAAAATGGTTGTGATAAAATAAAAGCGAAAAAAGGGTTTCTTTGATTGGTGAGAGGGTTAAATCCCTGAGGGGGAGTGTGAAGTATAGGCAGGTATTCGTAGACAAACCACCGTGATTCCGAACTTCACACGCAAGTAACCGAAGCCTCGGATTATATTTTATTGACACCAGATGAATTGCAGACTCATCAGCAATAGAGCGGATGTCTTGTTCATATCACTTCGCATCAAAAAGCAGCACAAAAAAACGCCGACAAAATAGTCATTAGTGGCAACACTTCAAAAATTGAATGCTTTTTTATGAGACAGACTCTGATAAAAAAAATGGTAATACAAAACTATTAATGTGCTCATTGCCAGAGGGCGAGGAGCTTGTATCTTGCTCCTTTCCTCGCAAACAACTGATCTCAGCTTAATAGTTTAAGATCGTTTTCTTTCGGAACCTAACAACTTTTATGTTAGTTTTAACAAACAGTTTGGTAACAACGTTTCGGCCAAAATTACAACCATTGAAAAAGGTCAAATAAAAACTGTTAACAGAGCTGAATTAGAAAATAACATGTGGACCTGAAGGCCTAAGCGAAACACAAAACGTTGCTTTTTTCGGCGATACCTCAAGCGCAAAGTATAAACAACAAATATTAAATATTGTTGAAAGAAAAAATCAAGCAGAAAAGGAAAATAAGGAAAGTCGGCTAGTGTGCAAGTAGCACAAAGTGATCCGACGGCAAAAATTTAAGATTTAAATCATCCAACCACCATTACGAGGCCAAACTGTGCACTGGATAAACGCGCAGTTCAGTGTGTGTAGTTCTCTCTGGAATTCAGAGATAAGTCTTTCAACATTTTCAAATTTTGTCGGAACAATCAAAGAAAACGAAAAAACTAAGAAAAATTAAAAAGAAACAAGATACTTCAAACTATCATGATTCAAAACATTAACAAAACTCCAGTCAAATTTTGAAAAATTTTCAAAAAAAAAATCCTTTTTCTTTCAAAAAGGTGACGTTTCACTTATCCAGTTTAATTTGGTTTGCGGACTGAACTAGGTTATAACATGCAACAACAAGACTGAATTGCTTGAGCAATCAATAAATTGCGGTAGAAAAAATTATTCATTAAAACATTATTATTCATTCAAACTTAGTCTGAGAAAAATATTTAAAAAAAAATTGTATCATCACTGAGTTACTGAGCAACTAGTTTCGATTTATTTGCAATCAAAATCACGATTGAAAACGTTTCCATATTATACGTTATTCGAACCCATTTTGTGCTTGTGGTCCGCTAGTTTGCAATGAAAACAAATTCCACGGCCATAACTCTTTTTCTCTGTTATCATACAATTTCTTAAATGAAAAAATTTTTTTCCATACTATTCAGTACATTTCTAAACGTTCAAAAAATTGAATGAAAAATCTATGAGAAGCGATTTTTTAAACAAAGTATTTTTCCATATATCGAAAAAAAAAATTTTAAATTTAATTTCCGAAAAATTTTGGATTGTTTTTGTAACCGCACGCGAGTGACAAAGACCTTGGTTTACTCAAAGCGCCAAAGTTGGACGGTCTTGAATTTACAATGCATAGAAAACGACCTGAATTGTTTTAGAGCTCTTTTTTACATATGATATAATGAAATTAACAAACTTTTAAATTTTGGAAAAACTTTTCAATGATAAATCTTTTTAAAATTTGAGTTTTTAAATTATCAGTTATAGATCAAGGCATAAGTAAACATGTCATACAAAACAACTGGGATTTTTTCAGCGTTTTTGAAAAAAATAATTAAGCGAAAAAGAAAAAACTCCAAAATTAGTGTATCCAAGAATACCTTATGCACGCAAAAAAAAATTTTTTATGCACAAAATTTCGTTTTTGGAAAATGTTTGATTGACAATAAATTTCGATTTGCGATTGAAAAAACCAAAAAAAATTTTGGCGCAATTTCGAAATTACTTTGTAGCAAATTTGAATTTTTTTTGTCGCCTTCAAAAACATGCTAGTCATACAATTTCCATGTATGGGAATTACAAGCTAAGAATTTTAAAAAAAATATCTGTTTTTTTCATCATCAGACTGTTTTATTAGAATCAAACAGTCCCAGTACTTAGTTTATATCTTGTAAACCATTTTTCACAATTGCATGAAAGTTATATGAAAAATTTTTCCATACACTTGATGTATGGAATTGTATGATAATTGTTTTCGGTGTATGGAGGTCAACCCGGTTGATTTATCGGAAAACTCACGAAAAAGAGTTGCTGCACAGTTACGGAAGATTTGTTCCACAAAATTGAATGAAAATTCTTTCGATTTTTTGCAAAAAAAAAACTAGATCAAATTGCTTTCTGCGTAAATTGTTTTTGCGTAAAGAGAATCTTCACATTGTTTTTGCTAATATTTTTTTAGGGCGAATCAATAATTCCGCAAATTTAACATGCTTTAATTTTATATAAACTGTGCAACTTTGAACTCTAGCAGCTGAAGTTAATCATTTCTGAGAATCAATCAATTTTTATCCCATTTATCTGGCTGAATTTTAGTTTGAGTAGAAATCATTGCAGACAGAATTTTCTCGACAACAAAATATTTTCTCTCGATAAAAAATTTTCTCGAAATGTTTTTTTAAAGTTTTTAAAATTCAAACTTCACAGGATTGGTTTTAATCGATATCTCGCTGAACCCTGTATACAAACTCTTGAGGTGTCTAAAATTGCGCGAAGAAGCCTTAAATTATATAGTTTTTTCCATTATTGTTTAGCCCAAATTGTTGCGTTGAAAGTCATCACTGCAACAAAAATACAAATCGTAGAAATTTTTTTTGTCCATAACATCAATCAGAAAAAATTTGCAAGCATGAAAATATTTTTTTTCAGAGCACGCAACCAAAAAATTTACAAACCAGATATGAATTATATATATTAACCAACTTCTAACATAAAAGTTGAAGAGATCGTCATAAAATTGATTTTTTTGCTAAATTACCATTTTCGTTCGATTTGTGTTAAATTTAGAATTACAGTTGCTTTGACTTATATGAGACTTGACTGCCCGCGAGTTTTCTGGAGGTGTCTCATATTCTCAAGAAAAGCAGACTACGCCATAGTTCTTTGCCACTTTATATATTGTGTTCTTTTCTCAATAAATTGTTCCGATCACGTCAAAAATGACGGGAGGGAACTATAGCATAGTTTTTCCGGTCAAATTTAGGCACTTCAAGGACAATTTTTAGGGTTCAAGCCTTATTGGTCTCGATTCAGATTTCAAAGAAAGTTCTCGAAGTATTTTATATTAAGTCTGATTTCTGATTAACCCAATAATCCAATTTTGATTTTTCCGTTTTCAGCCTTATTTACTCATCGTAGTAATTTTTTTGTACTTCCTATCTAATTCTGCGGAAATTTTCTACTATCATTTCCTTTTTTCAGATTATTATCCTAATTAATCCTCTCTCAACGCTTCACAAAAATTTTTGAAAAGTTGTAACTTTGTCAACTATTTCTATTTTTTTAATTGTTTCTAGAAAAATTACAGTGGAGTTGAAACGAACTATGAATTAAGGTCCGTTTTCTAAAATTTTAAATTGTAATTTTAAATCGTGTTTTGAATAACCCAATTCAATTGCGCGTACTAGAAAAAATTAGCAGCGATCTAGATAACAAAAGTTTGAAAATTAAAAGTAAAAATTTTTTTTTTCGATATAGAAAAAAATATATATATTTTTTTATTTAGAGGAAAATTTTTGTTTTTCCTCTATTGAATCAATTTAGTCTGAATATTCTGTGCTATCTTTGATTTTGAGTTGAAGTTATTATTTCCAGTTCTGTTCAAAATGCGTATTCTTTTGAACTGTTAAAAACCTTGTTTACAATAAACTGTTAAAATTTATAACATTAGAAGTTTGTTTTGAAATGTTTGCGTAGTGAACATTCGTTTAAATAAGCTATTGATGATAGTTTTGTTGCAATAATGCTGTGCTTCTGATGTTTGTCCTTTTGGCTGCAGGGCTTCAGTTTTTTTGTGAGTGGTAATTTGCAGCACTTAATGTTAAATGAACCTACAATTTAGTTCTTTATTTTTTCTATTTTTGAGGACCAAATATATTTTGAAGACAAAAAATGCAACCATTGCAGTTTTGTTACTTAGAAAGAATCATTGGCCCAAGACAAAAAGCTTTCTTAAGAGCGTTGCTTGAAAAACTTTACGAAAAGCACTTAGACACAATCTAGTCTGTTTTACGTATGGAACAGCCATCAATATTTTTTTCAAGGTTCAAGTGCATAAACATGCTGAGCAAAAAAAAAACATAAAATTGAGGATAACTTTTTATAAGTTTCCATTATTTGATGCATTAATTTTGAATGTTGTTTTTAAACGATAGATCGTGAAATCTCAGCTAAGATCGTCAGTAGTTCTTTATTCACATGCAAATTCAAACAAATGCTCGCGCTCCTGCGTGCGTTTTATGGCTTTTAAAGTAGTTTTTCATTAAATCTTTTAAAACTGTTTTCTTCATTTTCGCCCCTGCAGAGTTCGACGTGGACAACATGTTCATTCAGTTCAACGGGGACTGTGACTCGAGGGTGCAGCCGTGTATAGCGGATCTACATGTTCAGAATGCGGAACCCTCGGACTCGGGACTGTACCAGTGTGTGGGCAGCAGTGATATAGGTGCCACTCGGTCCGCATTCTACAATGTCAGGGTCATCAGTAAGTTTCACCTTCCTACATACTCTTATACTCTTATACTTTTACTTTCTCCTTTTATGGTCAAATACTGTTCTCGTTTTTGACTCTTCTCTATGAAGAATTAATCGTCCCTTCACTATCGAAAGGGTCCATTTGAATGCTTTTTAACTGATCCATTTATAACATATAAACGTAAACTGTGGAAAAGAGCATGCTTTGTAGAATATTCTACTTTGTTCGAAGCCTGCGCAAAAAATGAGTTTTCAAGTTCTTGAAAAAAGACTATGGGCGATACTTTTACTGTTAAGTTTTGTCATATTGTGTTATTGGGTGCTTTAAAATGCTCAAATATAATTTATATTGACTCAAAAAATTCTACAACTAAATACTTTCCCTTTTTAGCGCTTCCAAGAATCCTGATTTTTCTAAAAAAAAATTTGCTCGAACCACTCGAACTTTCAACACCGACAAATTTCTGTGTCATTTTTTAGTTAAGTTGTTTTGCGAGGCTAACCGTGTTTTTTTGGTAGACATTTGAACAAGTCACTCATTGCTTAAAGTCGCATGGCCAATTTAACTGAAAAGCAGAACAACAAACGAAAAATGTTTTGACGTGTGTCAAAACCGTCTCGAATGTTTTTCCTGATAATCTGCAGACTATATCTTGTTGTCTTCAGGTAGTTTTTCTGCCAGTTTCAAAACAAACAAACTGAGAGACGAATCTGGAATTGAAAGGCCATGGAAGTTGTTGATATTTAAGGCTTTGAGAGAGTTCGCGGCAAGTTATTTTGTCTGTCACACAGCTTCATATTTTGTCCAATAATTTTGAGTAGAAGTTTAGCAGTGTGGTAGATTTATTATTAGAATAAAGCTAGTTCAATCAGTAATATTCTCTTCTTCCATGTTTTGAGGTACGAAATGTTTAATGGTCAACTGTTTTTCAGAAAACAAATGTGAATTTTCAGCCAATGGCTGATCTGACAAAAACAGTTTTTAAAATTGACTAGAAAAAAAATTGTGGCATTTTAAAAAGAATTTTTATGTCATCATTTGGACCTGATATAAAGCGGTTATGCCGGTCTATAGAGCAAATCTTTTTCATAGCAATTGAGAAGGAGAAAAATCTTGGGAAATTCTGAAAAGACCCAAATCATTTTACTCCTTTTTATGAAATCATTTGTCAAGACTGCTCGTATATCAGGGCAAAGCCTTGATTGTTCCAACTGTCCCTTATTTCATATCGAATAGTTTTTGGGAAAAGAAAATATTGAAAATCTATAAATTTACCCAATATCAAAAGTATGAGATTTTGAGTCGCACGAAATTCATACGACCGATTAGCTAGCCTCAATTCATTTTTTGGAACAATTTTATTGCGAGGGATAATTCGCCTCGCATAAATAATTTGCGTTACGCTCTAAGCATTATGAATAAACTCTTCAAAGCGCACATAATTTAGTGCAGAACATGGCCAATTTGGCGATTTTCAAACCCCGAGAACTTTACAAAAAATTAATCGGAGGCAAAATATCTTTTTGAACTCTAACTCAAGAAGTCGATATCTTCAATGGGGTTTAAAAATGTTTAATGAAAATTTTTATTTGGATCGGCGAAAATTGACTGAATAGAAAACCACACCAAGCATTAATATTCCGTTTTCTTCGAAAGTCGGAACAAAAACAAAATCAGGGTAGATACAAAGTCAGGGTATAACTCTCTTATGACAATGATCATTGAAAAGAAATCTAAAAAATTTATCGACGAGTTTTTCAAATTTCATATTATATTCCGATTTTTTGAACAGAATAAAGGGATTTAACCAAGTTTAAGCAGTAGCGCATTTACGGCAGAAAGCCTCCTCCCTCAGGGAATGGACTCCCTGACTACCTAAAAGGTCTTCCTTTGTTGCTATTTTAAGACCTCCATTTTTCTAAAACCGTCTTTGGCGCTAATAAGTATACTAATTTTGAAGGAGGAACTCGGGCCAAAAAACGCAGTTTTTTATCAAAATTGTCCAAAAAGTACCTGAAAACGCCTTTTTTGGCCTGTTTTTTTTTGAGAATTTTGCCTGCGTTTTTATGGTGCAAGGTCATTTTAGTGCTTTGGGAGAGCTCGGAAAATTAATTTGGATACTTGATCACCCTCGAGAAAATTATAGATCTGCCACTGGGTTTGATTTTTATATCATTAGTCATAGAAAAAAAATGGGCTGCTTTGCGTGTGATAATATAAATTATATATTATTATAGCAAAATTGGTCAACAGAAACATCAGCAAAAACGTTTCCGACAAGACATTTTGTTTCAGAAAATAGTTGTAAAAATCTTCAATAAAGTTGTTAAATTATCGAAAACAACAACAACAATTTTTTTCTGAAGCTAATAGGAAAATTAATTTTGGCTCAACAAAAATAGCTCGAATGGAACAACTGATTTTTTCTTATTGATTCGCGCTTCTGATTGATTCGCAAAAGTAAACAAAATCTATTCAAGTGATCACGTGGAGTTTTTCCCTCTAAACTGGATTGGAGATGAAGAAGAGGAAGAATGCTGTCAGATTGTTCCAAAGCTTCAGTCTGCTAAACACGAATGAAAGAGCCTAACAACTATTTTTCACTTGATTTTCTAGGATCTTTTGTTGATGCTTTTACATTGACGAGGATACACTTTCGTCATACTTTCCTTCTTCCCTACATGAAAATGGCGGGAAAACGAGTTCATAGAGTTGCATGAAACTTTTAAAGATTCTTAAAAAGGATTCGATAATTGATAAAACTTGATCTGGCATAGCTTGTCAGTGAAACGAAAACGCCGAGAACAAACTCAAATCCAATTTCCGTCTGATTTCACTGAAAGGAAAGAGCCTGAATTAACCAAATTAATCGAATTAAACTTTTAACTGGATATGTCTAAAAAATTGATCATTTTGATTCCAAGAAGTTTGAAATAAACATTACAACAACATATGGCTGCAGAAAAAGTAAAATTTATTCCTGCAAGTTTTATTGTGAAAGCAACAGTTTTTGCTAAATTTGCCGTTCAATGGCCACCAATATATAACCATTTGCTTCAATTTATTTATTATTCCATTACACTTTTCTCAATCCATTTTGCAGTTTTTTGTGATTTTTGACTTAATTAATCAATAAGTCTGGTCACTAAAAAGTTACTACAAACTTTTTTTCTACAGATATTGGGTTTTTAGGCTGAACCCTTTTGAATACCACATTTGGTTTTTAACTATAAAAAAACTGCTCGTATCAGGGTAAAATCCGGAAAATTTCAGCTGCCTTTTAAGTTCTATGGGGTTATGTTCATGAAAAAATTGATGAAATTTTAGAAAAAAATTTGTTTATAATTTCTTTGAATTTTTTTACAT